TTTTTTTTTTTTTTTTTTTGTTGGTAAATTAATGTTAATGTGGTCACAAAACGTTTTCATCAGTGTACTAAAGCAATAAGCATCTCAAATTATGTGACTTTGAAACTGCAGCAAAAAAAGTGTTGTTGGATGATCGATGATATTGGTTAGCTTTTTGACGAACAGTCCGTAGAAAGGCTACAAAAAATGTAGCTTGTGCAAACACCACAGCAACAGCTTTAATTGTTTAAATTTGTTGGAGCCAAAAATTTGATGAATTTTTAGCTGTTTTTCTTCTGTATAAAGTAAATAAAGTTATTAAAATATCAGAATTAAGGTTTTTTACGCTATATTTTAAACATGCAGTCAAAATCCAGTCTTTTTTTTTCTTTTGGTTTTACACCTTCTACTATATCGTTTAGAATAGTCGGTTTAATAGAATGTACTGTTTGACTAAAAAAAAAACTTTTTTCATAGGTAAAACAGTTTTTTTATAACTGTAATTGCAGTTAATCTTTTTATTTATAAATGGCACTTTTTTCTGGATTGTTTGACAGATTTGATTCCTTTTTTCTGCCTAACAATTTGTTCAGCAACCAATAGACTCACAGGCTGTATTCTGGAGTAGACCCATCCGGGCATGGAACTGTCGGTTGTGAGGTTCGATGATGATTGGACTGGTGTTTGGTTTCTGAAATTCATAACTGAATCATCTGCAGCAAACTAGAGTATTGAAAAATTACAAAAAGAGTAGAAAGATAAACAAAACTGGGAACTGGCAGTTAGCAGTACTTTTTATCAGCTAACTTGATAATTTATCAACATATCTACTGAAAAGATCAAGAACTAGACCTGAACAATTCATTTCGTCGTCACCATCTGGACAATGGACGTAGCCATCACAAAACAAGTTTTTTGGTAAGCAATGCCCAGATTGGCATGCCTTTTGACCGGGTATACATTTGTGCTCCTTTGTTTCACTTTTTACTTCATTTACTTTTACGGCCACTGTAGCATTCTGATCAAGATGGTCAATTAGAATAGTGTAAAGACCGGAATCATCCGAAACAGCGGCATCTATACGCAAGAAGTACTCATCACCAGAACGATAAGCTTGTATCCGAGGTTCACTGGCAACAGTCAAGCTCCCTTGTGTGAGAATCTCATTATTATGAAACCATAGAACCTTAAAGGCCAAACTTTTTGCGTAAAGGTCATTATTTGTCAGAGAGGAAACAGAGAAGTGCTACATTTCTTTAATTGTATCATATGACATCGCTTTTCAAAGCAGTTTTTTGTTGCGAACTGACCTTATGTTCATCTGGCAGTCCCTGTACTATCGCTGACAGCTCAATGGTTTCACCAGCTCGAACTTCAACCTTATCGCTTGCTAGTGTGACCAGTGGTTGCCTTTTAGAGCAATGGGCTTAAAATCAGATGTTTTTTTTGCTACTTTTTTTTTTGTTGATACTGTTGTTCTTGTTACTTAACTCTTGAGCATAATCTTTTTGAAATACCCACACAAAAAGAAGAGAGAGAGTTGAAAAGTAGGACAACAAATTGTTGAATTACGTCTAAAATACGGTGGGTGGGAGAAAAAGGCAACTTTCAATGTATAATCATTGTTGTATTTTCTAATAAAAATTCAAAAAAAAAATTTTTTTTTTTTTTTTTTT